TTTATTAGTCTTGATACTTTCTAAATTTTCCAGCTTCGAGCTTTGGCTTCTAATAAGTCAGCATTAGTGATTTTCTAGACTCTGGTCTTTGCTTTCTAAACCAGATTTTCACAGGTTTCTGTCTTTTCCAATTTAGTTGAATATATTAGCTTTCTGGAACTCATTTATTCTTCCATTTTCAGTTAACAATTAAAATTATGGGACTAGAATTTTCTAGGCTGCTTCTAGGAGTGGAATACGGATGCAATTAAAACAAAGAATCTCGGGGCCTCTGGGTGGCTCAGTGGGTTAAGCCTCTGCTTTCAGGTCAGGTCATGATCTTAGGGTCCTGGGATCAAGCCCCGCATGGGGGGGGGGGGTCTCTACTCAGCAGGGAGCCTGCTTCCCTCCCCCTTTCCCTGCCTGCCTCTCTGCCTACTTGAGATCTCTGTCTGTCAGATAAATAAACAAAATCTTTAAAAAAAAAAATAAAACAAAGAATCTGTTTAACTATAATCCACTAGCTCCCTCTGGCTTAGCTAACTAACCAGTTTAAAATTTGTTCTTTCTTGTTTTGTGTGTTTATGTGTTTTAATCTCTCAAGATCTGGTTATGATAAAGGTCACAACCTTTTTTATTACTTTCCTTTGTTTTTCATTTTGACAAGAAAATTTTATGGGGCTCCTGAGTGGCTCAGTTAGTTAAGCGGTTGCCTTTGGCCCAGGTTATGATTCCAGGATCCTGGGATGGAGGCCCATATCGGGCTCTCTGCTCAGTAGGGAGCCTGCTTTTCCCTCTCCCTCTGCTTGTGCTCTCTCTCTGGCTCACTCACTGTCTCTCAAATAAATAAATAAAATCTCAAAAAAAGAAAGAAAAAAAAGAGAAAATTTTATACCTATGACATATGTATGTAGATGTGTATATATATGTTTATGTAAATACATACAAATGTATGTTTATATGTATTATATGTATATATATTACAAATATAAATTTATATGTATATATAAAAGAATAAAAGAAAATACACGTAAAGACAAGGAGACTAATCACCTACAAAATCTCCCTATTCAGAAATAAGCTTTGCATTACTATCCTATAAACTTCTTCCTATCTATACTAAGACTTTCTGTAAATAATTCAGAATTTGTTGATATGTTCAATTAATGAACTCACCCCATCGATATAAAATAAGTCAATTATATTAATTATTCCACTAAATTGCTGTTTAATTAAATTGGATAGAAATACACATGAAATTGCTATAGGTACAAAGTATATGGCAAACACGTAATTTACTGTATGCATGTAGTTTATATATGTGTGTGTGCATATATATATATATATATATATGGCAGACATTTTAGATAAATAGTAAAATATTAAACATTCCTAACTCAAAGGGAACCTAAATCTCTTTCTCAAATTAACTTACTGCATAACGGCATCTTCCAGAGCTTATGAAAATTTATTACATTTCATCTTGAACCCCATTTGGGAAAAGGGACAAAGTTTCTCTTCAAATTATAACTCACAAAGCTACTGCAATTCTATATGCACATCATATTGATTAATAACAGTGAAAAGAAGCTCTGCCTTCGACTTGGCACGATTCTATCTTCAGGGAATCATCAGGTTATCAGGAGATGTGCAGTTCCGTGCTGGTAACAGAGACCACTGTGCTCAATTTTGGGATTTGACAAACTAAAGTTTATTCAGTAGGCTTTGGCTAATTTCCTTTGGGAAATCAGCTCAGTAAAATCCATAGATAGTGCTCAATTTTTGACTTTTAAAGGGACAAATTCCCAAAATTAACACTTTCCAAACCTCTTCTTAACCAGGAACACAGTATAGGCATACACTCACACACCTACACGGCTAGAAATCACTGTTATCTGTGTGACATAACCATTCCAAACTAAGGCAAAATTTACGTCTTGACCAGAAGTCTGAACAGAACTCATCAGTTACATAAAATATTGATTCCACATGTATAAATCTAGTTAGTCAATCGGTATTGTTTGTGGCACATTTAGGGAAAGGTGAGCTATCAAAGGTATCATTTAGGAAGGACCAGAAGATAAAACTGATTGTTTAAAATCATTAAAAAGTCCTGTTGGGTTCACTTTTTAAAAAGATGTGAGCTCTATTAATATTATGTTGCCACCATTGTTTCCATTTATGGCTGTACTTTGTCTAACTGAAATAAATTCTTAAAAACAGACAGTCCGTGTTTCTAATTTATTTTTTTAACACATTTATTTATTTATTTTAGAGAGAGAAAGAGAAAGAGAGAGAGAGTGGAGAGGGAAGGGCAGAAGGAAAGGAAGAGAGAGAATCCCAAGCAGACTCCCTGTTGGGCTTGAAGCTCACCCTGAGATCATGACCTGAGTGGAAATCAAGAGTCCTACACTCCACCTACTAAGCCACCCAGGCGTCCCAATAGCTATAATTTCCAAAGCATCTCCATTTTTTTTTTAACTTTTCCTCTTTTCCTTCCTAAATTGAAGTTGATTAGCAAAGTCTTCTTTCCTACCTCTTCTTAGGTGTTTGGCACCCTATAAAAGCCACTGAGGCATCTCTTTCGGCTGATGGAATATCTCTACGTTCTGCTTCAAACCTTCTTGCTCTTATCCTGTATTGAAAGATAATTCACCAAAAGTTTCTCCTCTTTCCACATATATTGGAAGCAGAGACACCGAAAACTTGCTTTGGTTCCTGACTATCTTTTTGAGAATGTTTGTGTAGTGAACAGTCTTGAAAGACAGAAGTAGTTCTCCCCCTGGAGCAAACAGTAGGTTTGTTTACAGTCCAGTATAATAAAGATAAGTTCTCCCTCAGCAGCAGAGGGGCGGTTTGCTTGCTGCCATTATAAAAACGAAACAAAACAAAACAAAACCGACTTTCCTAAGCTCAGGAAGCTTCAGCTATTACACACACCCACTGTGTGAATCGGTGTCACCTAGCCCTCCTCGTATCACCCTGGAGTAACTGGAGCTCAGGGACCTGATGCAAAATAAATAAACAAATAAAAATAAAAAGACAATACTTTGGCTACTGCTATCATGAGTAACAAACTGCCCTTTGTCTCTGTTTTCTGCCAGCATCCACGAAACTGTGGCCAATCTTTCACAGTTCTTGACATTTTGTTTCCCCAGTTTCTGTCCTTTAGCTTCATATGTAGATTCTGTTCTACACCCAGATCCTTTAGATGTTGACTCCTTTGGTTGGCCTATTTTTCTTTAACTTCAATTTTCTCCACATGTCTGTCTCCTTAGTTGACCTTTCTGTCCAAGGTTCCCATTTTTCCAGGAAAAAAAAGAGGATCTAATTAAATGGTAAGTGACAAGGAATTAAAGACAGAGGGGAAAAAAAGGATGAAAGAAAAAGTGTGAATACAAAGGAAAGTGTGGGTTATATACATGGAGCACAGGCCCATGAGAACCCATACAACAGCTGGGTTTTTGATTCTATCCCCATTGGAGACATCGTTTTAGAGACATACTGGGGCTGAGGGTAGAAGGCTGAAGGGGCTGCCTTACTGGGGGAGGGTCCCTTGATTTTCTGACCGTTTGACCCTACCTTTTCATTTCTTAGTGTTCACTTTTAAAAATATTACTTCTTTACATCTTTTTCCAACCCTTCAACAATAAAATCAATAGACTTATGTCAGGTAAATACAGTTAGTGATAAAATAATCAGGAATTTTTACTTGCTAATTATTTCTTATTTCAGCGAGTTCTAGAAGGATGAGCAGCAGTAGCCCCTGCAACAAGAGTCCTGAGAATCAGTAGAAACTTATTATAGATGTAGATTTCCAGGTCGTATACCCCATAGATTCTGGTTTAGTAGAGTTGATTTTCATTTTTGGTGAGCTACTTTGGTGGATCAGCTAAAGTTTGTCTAAGGAATATGAGAAACTCTGCTCCACAAACCGCCTCTTCATCTGGTATTATGCACATTTGTTCTCAAAGAGATAGTTCAACCCCAAATACACAGATTAGTCACTCACAAGTGTTAGTTGATGGCAGTGATTTCCCGTGGCAGACACTCCACTGCCAGGTGTGTTTTCATAGTTATTTTTTGGTCCATGAAATTAAAAGACTCGCATTAATATGAAAAAAAAAAACTACTTAGTTTAAGCATTTTTGGAATATATTTGGAATGATTCCTTCTAATGATATGTGCATTATTAGCAATGGCTATATGCAGAAAGGTATATAAGTGGAATGAAAAAAAATATTGGAAGCTATAGCTTATAAACACTTCTTTAGTAAAATACTGTTATCCTAAGAGTATCTTATTTGAGTAAGTTAAACAATGTGAAAATTTTTAAGAGACTAATAAGGGGATATTTTTGAAAAATACAGATTATTTCAATCATTGCTATTGGGATCATAAGATATAAAATAGGATGTTAGTGAAAAATATCTGATACCAGTGTTTGAGATGCATGCAGAGAGGGTGTAAAATAAGGGCATTCGTAGATCTGCAGGTGTATCGCCCTAATAATGATGCTCGTGGGAATATTTTTGATGCATTTTCTCAATATTTTTCAAACTAAATAGAATTAAATAACCCAAGTAATAGAAATATCACAACAGCTCTTCTCCTTGAGTACAGACCAGCATATTTAATTTCCATCAGGTTCAATTGGGAGTTTCACACTTAAATTCAATCAGCATATAATCCAGGTGAAACTCATGAGAACAAAGAAAATGCCATGAATCTACCGTCCTCTAGAGATAGAGATACCATAGTTTAGAATGCCAGGGACTAGGCTGCTTTTGGATACATTTCCATCTGCACATCAGACTGAACTATTATGGGATTACTTGGGACAACGAATGTTACACAAAACAATTTGATCGATATTCTAACATGTACACACTACCACTATCGATAGGTGGTTTTTATCAATTAGAGCACTTCTTAAAAAATAGCAACATAAATTCAGACAGAATATGTCAGATATTCATCTTTTCACTAAAGTTACGTGGACAAAAGTTGACAGGACTTACAGTTTACGACAACTTTTACTTTTTTCACGTCTGGGAATGACACATCGTTTTCTGCACTGCATTCATATTCTCCGGCCTGGTCCCTTGTAATTCCATAAATGTCCAAATATTGTCCATTTTCAAATGGTTTTGCTACAAGAAAAAAAAGTACAGCATGTTTAATTGTAGCCGCCTGAGGCTTCAGTCATGTAAAATAACAATCTCCTGTCTTCCTATTAGATACTGCTGACAAAAACAATCCCAAATGCAACTGGGGAATTATTAAACCCTTTGTTCTCCTATGTTCAGAGGAAAAGTCAGAGAAAAAAGCAGAAACTGAACAAGGGATACTATAACAACTGTTTCCCCAGAATAGGATATACATGTGTTCTTTTTAATTGATTGTGGTCTCCTAACCTCGTCACACATCAAATAGAGTTCTGCACATTTCTGTAATTGAGTTCAACAACCTTCTAGCAGTGTAGATGAAACTCACTAATATGGCTTGGTACATATTGACTTTTATACAGTGTAAGCTAGCAAGCTGACACTTAACCTAACTAAATGTTGCTTTTCTTTTGGCAAAATTTCATACTCATTCTCAAGGTTTCAAGCCAGATGGTTTGATAAGTTTAGAGGCACATTAAACCATTGCTGCATTTCAGTTTCCAAAATTATTAATTTTTTAAGGGAGGCACACTGTAGATATTATATATAATCTATCCAATAAATTTTAAGAAAAAAATATGGTTCTGAAACTAAGAGTTAAGTAGTGGTAAAAACTAAATTATCTTTATTTTTTAATATTCTAGGGAAAATATTCTTATTCAACTAAAAATAACACTAGAGTAAAAATATAAGGGCATAATCCAAAATGAAAAAAATACTTTCAAATGAATGAAATTTGGAAAAAAAATCCTTTCTGAAATAATAGAATTTTTATTTATTTGAAAACAGAGACTCAGGCAGGAGGGATCCTGATTATCAGAGATGGGGTGGAGGAAGAATGAGCTTATGTGAATTTCTGCGGTGGGAGGGAGAGGCTCTTCTCCCTCTTATACAAGTCCTGAAAAATCACATTTCAGTACATACCAAAGAGAATTGGAAAATGATACAATGATTCCCTTAAACAGCCTGTTTTCAAAAGTCAACTTCATTTTTGTTTTTATTCTACTCTCTTGCCAAAACAATTGTATTGCTATAGAAGTTAGAAAACTAGTAACAAGACTCAATTTTATCTGAACAAAGCAAAATAGAATATAGTTATGGTGCTCCGAATCCAAAATCTATGTCAATTAACAAAAAAATATTTTTCCTTTGGGCTCCCTTGTCTGAGCCAATATCAGTCACTATACTGTTTGTCCTCAGGTAGCTATGATTTTGTTAATTGAAACCTGGAGTGTTTAGAATATATATGATTACATCATTTCTCCATTTTTACCTGGCTGCTCCTAAATTATAGATAGCGAAGAGTTATACTTCTAAGGTGATAGTTGGCTGATATGCTAATTCAGTTACACAGAGGTGAGTTTACAAAAGTAGCAATTGCCCTCAAATCCATATTCTTAAAATCTGATTTTATAACTATTTTCTTAGCTCAACCTAATGCCCTTATCTGACTCCATACACTAATATAATGTTGATTTTCTATTGTTTCCTTCTTTTTATCTTATTTTTACCCTTACAATGAAGATTAGTTAGGTTTAAACATGTCTATAAAAACTATTGAAACATAGGGAGGACAAAATCCTTACTCACATCCAAGAATTTTTAGAGTGTAACTTGAATTATAAAGTAAAAGGATGTTAAAGGAAAATTAAAGTATGGGTAAAACTGATATACCAAGACTAAATAACCTAGTTGGGCAGGTAAAATGAAGCCAATCATGTGTGAAAAGGTAAAAAACTGTGAAACTTTGTAAAAACAAATTTATTAGGTTCTAATTTGTTTTGTTTTCTTTTTTTTTAATCATTTTTTAATTTATTTTCAGCATAACAGTATTCATTGTTTTTGTACCACACCCAGCGCTCCATGCAGTCCATGCCCTCTCTAATACCCACCACCTGGTTCCCCCAACCTCCCACCCCCCCACCTCTTCAAACCCTTCAGATTGTTTTTCAGAGTCCATAGTCTCTCATTGTTTACCTCCCCTTCCAATTTCCCCCAACTCCCTTCTCCTAACTCCCCATGTCCTCCATGCTATTTGTTATGCTCCACAAATAAGTGAAACCATATGATAATTGACTCTCTCTGCTTGACTTATTTCACTCAGCATAATCTCTTCCAGTCCCGTCCATGTTGCTACAAAAGTTGGGTATTCATCCTTTCTGATGGAGGCATAATACTCCATAGTGTATATGGACCACGTCTTCCTTATCCATTCATTAAAATGTTACATGAACATTCCTATTTCACATCTATTGAATGTTTGTTCCTGGAAGGGGTGTGTGTGTGTGTGTGTGTGTGTGTGTGTGTGGGTGGGTAATTAATTAGTGGTCTAAAATAGCACTGAAGGATAGCTTTTAGCTTTGAGTTTCTGATAGGGATCACAGGCTACGATAGGTCCTTTATAATCTGCTTTCTCTCTTCTCCTTATTTAGTTCTTCTTTCTGCTGCCTGGATTCTTTATTCTTCAGTTCACCCTGGTAACTTCTTTTTTCTTCCAGGGTCTTTGATTAAGCAGTATGTCCTCAGAGAAACTTTTCCTGATTTAGTCACTACTCAATCTAGTAGCTACGTGTTACTTACTTCCAAAAATACACTAAAAAAGCCTGCGCATGGCATAAACATGTTTGCTATTACTTATTTAACCATAAACCGCTTTTAAAATACTTATCTTTCTGTTATACTATGTATTTTGTGATATAGAGGGTCCTGGGGGTGGCTCAGTCAGTTGACCTTCCTACTCTTGGTTTTGGTTAAGGTCATGATCTCAGGTCCTGAGACAGAGCCTGGAGTCAGGCTCTATTCTCAGCAGAGAGACTGCTTGAGATTCTTTCCCTCTCCCTCTGTCCCACTCCCGGCTAGTGTGTCCATGCTCTCTCTCAAATAAATAAATCTTAAAAAAAAAAAAATTCTGTGTGGGGTGCCTGGGTAGCTCAGTTTGTTAAGTGTCTGCCTTCAGCTCAGGTTGTAATCCCGGGGTCCTGGGATCCAGCCTTGCAATGGGCTCCCTGCTCTGTGGGGATCCCCCCTCTTCTACCTCTGCTTGCTGTTCCCCTTGCTTGTGCTCTCTCTCTGAACAGATGAAATCTTTAAAAAAAATTCTGTGACTTAAAAGGTTACATCTTATTCTATATTTAATATGGTCTCTATGCACATTTGTTGACTACATCATTAAAGAAAAAGCTGTGTCCTCTAGAAACTGGGAATGGCCCTCAGCTGACAGCAAAAAATTGATTCTCCTCCAGAACTAGAAAGTCCAGAAAATATGACATTCCATTAGAAATTAATTTTCTTATTCAAACAATTGTTATCCATGACACCATAAATAAAAACAATATTTATCTTTTATTGACTCCTTATTAAGGGTAATGTATCATGATAAATGCTTTTTTCTCTTTTTTTAAAGATTTATTTATTTATTTTAGAGAGTAGGGGGGAGGAGCAGAGGGAGAGAGAATCTCAAGCAGACTCCCTGCTGACTGTGGGGCCTGACTTGGGGCTTAATCTCACAATGCTGACATCATGACTTGAGCTGAAATTGAGTCAAACACTTAAGTGACTGAGCCACCCAGGCACTATGATAAATTCTTTTCATTATGAATTCCTCAGTTAACCTTAGGTAAATGCATCAGGTAGGTTCTGTCATATGGAATAAGATTCTATACGGTTAAAGAAGTAAAATATCTTGTTAATGGACCCAGTGTTGGATATGAAAGTCAGAATTCCAAAACCTATATGCCTGATCTGTATGCCACTGAAATGCTGATTAGTTTTCTCACTTGTAAATGGTAATAATAAAAATGCTTATTTACTGCAAAAACTAAACTAGGCCATATATGTGTAATCCTTGCTCTCAGGACTATAAAGCATTATATGGATATTGATTTAATCTCTGAATTATCAGTTTTCCATAGCTGCCATAACAAATGACCACAAATTTACTGGCTTAAAACCATATAAATTTATTATCTTACAGTTGTGTAGGTCAGAAGTCCAGAATAGGTCCATGGTAACTATAATAAAGGGTCTTCCAAGGATATTTGTGTCCTAATTTTTGGAGTCTGTGATTCTGTTAGCTTCCATGGAAAAAGGGACTTTGCAAATGTGTGAAGTACGTTGTGATAGAGACTATGATGGGATGCTCAGTCTAATCATATGAGTCTTTAAGTGTAGTATGTGGAAGAGTGGGTCAGTGAGATGTGACATGAAGAGTCACCACCGCTGACTTTGAAGATGAAGGAAGTGGAACATGAGCCAAGGAAAGCTGTGTTCTCTAGAAACTGGGAATGGCCCTCAGCTGACAGCAAAAAATTGATTCTCCTCCAGAACTAAAAAAAGAACACAGCCTGTCAATACTTTCCTTTTAATCTGGTGAGACCAGTATCAGATTTCTGAATTACAGAAGTGTAAAATAGAAGTGTTTTAAGCCACTAACTTTGTAGTGATTTGTTACAGCAACAATATAGAATTAATTCAGGGCCTCCTTGGACTGTCAGCAGTGCAGGATTCCTTTCTGGAGGCTCATTTGCTCATTCGGGATGTTGGGAAAATGGTTACAGTGGTGCCGAGAACCTCATTTCCTTGGTGGAAGGCCACTCCTAGCTTGTAGAGGTCTCCTCATTTTTTGCTTCACAGCACCTTCCTTCATCTTCCAAGCCAGCAAATGGTGGGTTAAGTCCTCTCTCACTTTGAATCTTTAGGGCTTCTTCTCCAGGTGCATCTCTCTGAAGGACTCTTCTGCCTTCTCTTCGACTTTTAAGGACTCCTGTGCTTCAACTGAGTCCATCTGCCTAATCCAAAATAATCTTCTCATCTTTAGTTCTTAACTTTAATCGCATCTACAAAGTCTCTTTACCATGTAAGGTAACATAGTCAACAGTTTCCAGGGATTAGGACATGGATATCTCTGGTGCCATTATCCTACCGACCATACTTGTTCAGTAAACTTGCAGTTATTTTGCACATACAAATTGTGATCTGCCTAGAGT